CTTTTCTATTTGTAATGTATAGTGTTTTACACATATATTCCATCATCTGCATCTTCCCCTCAGCCAAAGTAAATCATATCTCCAACACTTCTCCAACACTAGAGTCCCATAATGACGCCCTAAAAGCCAACAACATGCCCAATTGCTATGATCAAGTAAAACCACACTTTTTCTTAATTATGTTTCATCTTCTAATTCTTTGATTTTAGGTACTTGATGAGTATCATGACCTTCACACTTATTTGGCTGGGGGATTCCACAAATGTAGGTGGATTCACTGCAAAAAATATGACTTTCGACGGTGACTAAAAAAGTCACAGTTAAAAGTTTATTTTTGGCGGCGAAAAATTAATGTCATCGACAAAAGTTATCACTAAAACTATATTTTTGGTGACAATAATTAAATGTCGCTGCTAAAAGTGGACTTTTAGTAGCAACTTTCGTCGGCACCAAAAATATTTTTATAAAAAATAATTTAAAATTTTAAAATAATTTATATAATTCACTTTTAGCAGCGACATTTGTCATCACTAAAAGTATTTTTATAAAAAAATAATTTAAAAATTAAAAATAATTAATATAATTCACTTTTGGAATGTCGCCATCAAAAATATTTTTATAAAAAATAACTTAAAATTAAAAAAATAATTCATACAATTCACTTTTGGTGGCAACAAATGTCGCCATAAAAAGTATTTTTATAAAAAATAATTTATATAATCTACTTTTGACAGCAAAATTTATGAAATTATAATTCAAATTTTGTTAACAAAATTTATGAATTCTGTTAAAAAATGAAATAAAATAAAATTATTCAAAATATATTTATGAAATTAAATTTCTTATTTTATGTATAGAATTAGAAATAAATTATATATAGGATTGTGAAACAAAAAAATAATAGTCAAGATGTGTTGAGTTTAAGTATTAAATTATTTCTAATTTTATATTATTCACAATCATTTCTTACACATATATAGCTCATATTTTTTAAGAATTATGTTATTAAGTTAGTATTTTAATATGATAAATTAAAATCTTGATGGGTTATTACTTTCAATTATAATTACGTTAAATTATACATAAATTATTATTTACAATCAAATATATAAATGGCATTGGGATGTTAAAGTTGTATAAATGTCGTGAGATACAAATAATATTGTAGACTATTTAGTATATTGCACACTTGATGCTTAGCTTGATATACATATGGTATCTATTTCTTCTACTGAGCTCTAATGACTTTTTGAAAAAGGATTCCATGTATTTCTTCTTATTATATTTAGGTTTCCATTGCTATAAAAAGAAGTTACTAATAATATTTTTATAACTAATTATTACTAAGAATAATATAAATAACTATTCAAATTCACCTTACTATGAGGTTGAGGATGATTATATGTTAACTAGATTGATCATATATGAAATTCTTGTAATTATTATATATTGTAAAAGTTATTAGTATTCATTCTCAAAATTATTCAAAATGACTATTAACAAAATTTATGTGGTTAAAATTAATTTTTTATTAAAATAATTTTTTAAGATATTGAAAAATTATTGATAAAATATATTTTTAATAAAAGAGGGGGAAACATTTAGCTATTTTGAGAGAAGATAAAAATTTAATCATTTAGTTTATCAATTTTTGAGAAAAATATGAAGAAGAAAAAAGTAAAAGATATTTAACATAAAATAATATAATACATATTTATAAATAAATTATATACTTAATAATTTCCATTTAAAAATAAAAATATAATTTAAAAATTGATTACAATGTATATAAGGATATTATTTAATATTTAAAAGCTGTTTATTTTAAGTTCATTTTCCAAAAAAAAACATTTACTAGTGAAAAATAATATTTTATTAAAATGATAATTTAAATATTCATATAAATCATTTTTTCATATTAATAATTGAAAATAAAATAAAATATATGTATATATTTTTAATAACATATTATTTCATATATGTGTATGTAATTACATAACATATATTTAATTTCGCATATAATATCTGTAGATACATTTTAGTTCAACTGACAAAGAAGGAAGGTTTAAGGCTTGGAGGTGGGAAAGGTTAAGGGTTCAAATCTTAGTTTTGTCATATTTCGCACCCATGACATGTGACATGGCATGAGATGGCTAGGTGATGTGGCATCATTTGTTGAACACATGGCCTATGACATGGCATAAGATGACAAGTGACGTGGCATCATCTGTCGCACATATGGCAGGTGATGTGGCATCACTTGATGCATGCATGACAGAGTGATGTTGCATAAAATAAATTATTATTTTTTGAAAAAAAGTTTTTGTTGCCGCTAGAAGTCTTTTTAGTGGCGACAAAAACTTTTTTTCAAAAAATAATAATTTATTTTATGCCACATCACTCTGCCTCTTTTTAGCGGCGACATTTGTTGCCACCAAAAATATTTTTGGTGGCAAAAACTCTTTGTCGCCGTTAAAAGTCTATTTTTGATGGCGACAAATATTGTCGCCGCCAAAATTATTAGCGACAGTTGTTATAGCGATGACCTTTTAGTGGTGGAAAGTCGCCACTAAAAATTTTTAACGGTGATTTTTAGACTTTTGACGGTGACTTTTTATAGCTGTCAAAAGTTTTTTTTTTTGTAGTGATTTAAGTTTAGTAGATGTTTGGATTCTTTTTCGCAAGCTAAAAGTACTTTCAAGACTCTAATGGTTTGCTCTAATGTATGTTTGGCTGCTTTCTTTGCAAGTTCAATTTACAAAACAAATATATATATATATATATATATGAAAAGCCAATTGGAAATCAAACATGCTCAGGCACTCATACTTTAGAAGTTACTTAAAAGTTCATTAATCTGGTTTAACTAGCTTCACTACTTGACCAATAATAGGTTAATTTTGTCAAAATACTGCATTAGTTTTCATTTTTAGTCTTATACTCTTCTCCTTCCAAAATATGCCTTTTTGAAGAAAAAATTTGTTTCCTTTATATGTCCTTTCAAAATATTATTATTTAACCCAACAATTTTAATGACCATTTATTAAGATTTATTTGACATTGTAATTAATATTTCAGCATTGATTGCATTTCTCAATTCGTGTGCAAAAACTTTAAAAGGCTTATCTCAAGCTAGAATTGGCTTTCCTCCTCTGCACAAGAGAGTAGATGAGAGATTATTGCAAATCTAAATCGTTAAATTGAATTTAATAATTTAAATTTAATAATTATTAAAAATATGAATTTAATTTAAACGGTTTAAATTTAAAGTGAAGAAGTAGTGAAGAAAAACTCACCCCTTCTAAAAAACTATAGTATAGAAAATCTCTTAAAAGCCCTACTTAATCCAAAATATAAGATATTATATAATTTTTATAATTATTTTTTTCAACTATATCTATACCACTACTTCATTTATTACTATTTTTGAAATTAAGGTTTTATTACCTAATATTTTTAGAACCATGAAATAGTTACCGATTCCTTTGTTTATAGAGTATATTTCCTCTAGTCTATATTATAAGATATACAACTAAGTCACCAGAATAAAAAAAATAGTTATATTATTAAAATTATCTAAAAATTGCTTTGATTTTTATTTTCACCACTACAAGTACCATCAATTTAAAAAAGCAAAACATTATTTATCCTCTCATTGGAAATTGAGAATAAGCACATATTTGAAATAAAAAAAATAATATTACACATATTCTTGCAAAGTGATGACTTATATTAATGACAATAAAATTTTCCTATGTAGAAGGGTAAATTAGGGAAAATAATTTAATGCCCTATATAATACTCCCTCCATCCTAAATTACAAGATACTTTTAAAAAATATTCGGCATTTCAAAATATAAGACACTTTGAGAAGATTAGGGTTTCATTAAATAGGCTTATTACAATATACTTTTTCTCTCTTTCTCTCTAATTAATTCTCGTCCCTTTTTTTTAATATATTAAATGATGAATATTTTTTAAAGTTTATATTTTTATTTTGGAAAGGTAAGATTGTTAAGTGTATTTAATAAGATTTATTAGTATGTACGCTTTTGTCTAAAAATGGCTTATAATTTAAAATGGATGGAGTACTATCAAATAGAATTTACATTTTGAGGGAAGAAAAGCTTAGGGATTAAGATTTATAGGAAAGTTAACTTCCCACCAAGTTTATGCATGACTCGTCTGTTTAATTTTCTTATTCTTTGGGGAAAATGAAAAAACTTCAATATCTTTCCCAGATGAGTCGCTCACCAAATTTCAAAGAAAGTAGGGCTCCTAACTTCCCAAAAAAAAAAAAAAGGAAAAAAAAAATTACACTCTTTCTATCTCAAATTATAAAACACTTTTAAACAAAATCACACATACCAATAAACTTTAATAAATATACTTAACAATCTTATTTTTTTTCAAAACAAAAATATATCTTTCATTTAATATATTTAAAAAAATAGGAACAAAAATTAAATAAAGAGAGAGAAAGGGTAATATTAGAATAAACATATTCAATGAAATTTTAATATTTTCTAAAATGTCTTATATTTTGAGACGTGGAATCTCTCTTTCAAAAATATCTTATAATTTGGGCAGAGGTAGTTGTTAGTACTTCCTTTAGATCTCAACATAAGTCATAGTTAATTAATTTGTGATTTACAAATAATGTTAGTTGAAACTTTAAATTCTTAAAAATGTTTGTACTTTTTCATTTATACCATCATTAAATACCCTAAATAAGAGCCTTGATTATAGTAATTAAAATTTCAATGCATGATTTTTTTTTAAAAAAGGTAATAAATAAAGTAGGGGTATAGTTAAAAAAAAATAAAAGTTATCAAATGTGTTATATTTTTGATCAAGTAAAGTTTTAAAAAATATCTTATATTGTGAGAGAAAATCACTTGACCACTTTTTCTAGCATGTTCTATATATCATTATTGCTCCATCTAACTTACCCCACAGGCCTCTATATAAACCCTTGCATTTCTCCACCAGAAGGCACACTCACACTCGTCAGCAAAGCGATTTCCAGCAAACCACAAATTAATCAAACCATTTGAAGGTATAATTGATCGATCAGCATGGCCGGTGTGATGATGAAGTTGGCTTGTATGGCGGTGATGTGTGCGGCCCTAGTGGGTGCACCACTGGCTGAAGCCATCACATGTGGTCAGGTCACAACCAACGTAGCTCCTTGCCTCAGTTACTTCCAGAGGGGTGGCACTCCATCCCCCAGCTGCTGCAACGGCGTCAAGAACCTTGTCGGAGCGGCTCGCACCACCGCTGACAAGCAGACCGTCTGCAATTGCCTCAAGACAATCGCTGCTCAGGTCCCCGGCTACAACGATGCCAACGCTCAGGCCATTCCTGCCAAGTGCAATGTTAACGTCCCCTACAAGATCAGCACTTCCACTAACTGTGCTAGGTATTACACACACTCGCTCCCAACTATAATCATATTACCTCCTTAAATTAGGAAAAGCTGGTTAAGTTATTAATTTTGTTTGAGAATAAAATAAACTTATAAGTTAACTTCTATTTAAATAGAAAATTTTTAAATTTACATTGCATTCTCTTTTATATTTAATAAGTTTTAAATGAAAGTAGTATCATAAAAACGTAATTACTATCCCATAGTATGTATGCCTTGTATTAAAAGTAAAAAAAAAATCTTTCTAATAGGGATCAAAGGGAATAATTATTAACTAATTTAAGTTTGTAAGAAAAAAGTTTGTTAAAATTTTGATTTTCTAAAAGATTACATATATTTTCAATCGTATTCTTAAAGGAAACAAATATAATAATTGACTTATTCAAAACTCCTTTGTTAGTAATGTGAGTTAAATATAATAAAGTAAGGGCACAACAATAATAATAAAAAGGAGAATGACAATTAAGGACCTGCTAAAAATATTAATCTCAATTACGGACCGTAAAATTTTGAAATCCTAGTTAAGGACCATGGTCCTTAATTGTGATTAAAAAAATATAATTTGTGAGGTGGGATTCATTATTGCCACTTGAAAATTCACTAACCCAACTTGAAAAAAATTATAACGTATATTGTGAAAACATGAAACTCCACTTGGAAATGGAATGTTTAACAAAAAGCGCCACTTAAGAATTTACTAACTAGGCATGAAAAAATTTATAATGTATATTGTGAAAACATGAAACTTTACTTGGGAATTGATTATTTAATAAAAAACACCAATTTGGATAAGTCACTTTTTATTAATGATTTTCAAGTGGGATTTCATTTTTTCACAGTATACGTTAGAAATTTTTTCAAATTTAGTTAGTAAATTCCCAAGTGGCACTTTTTGTTAAATATTCCATTTCCAAGTGGGGTTTCATGTTTTCACAATATACATTAGTAATTTTCTCAAGTTGGATTAGTGAATTACCAAGTTGCGTTAGTGAATCCCACCTCACAAATTACATTTTTTTTAATCATAATTAAGGACCATGGTCCTTAACTCTGATTTCAAAATTTCACGGTTCGTAATTGGAATTAATGTTCTTAACAGGTCCTTAATTGTCATTCTCCCATGATAAAACTTATCCTACTAAAAGGAGTACCTTTAGAAATACTAACTTCAACCAAGAAGTATAAAGTAAAGGTAAAATTTAAAAATGTATAAAATTTATTCAATACCTTATATTTTAGACCAAGCAGGACTTTTAGATAGTATGCTATGTTGTGGTCCACAAGGAATATAAATTAATTAATTATATACATATGTATGCATGCACACATTGCATGAAGGATGCACATGATTAAAAGATATGTATGATACTTAGTAAATTAACACTCCTTACATCCTAAATTATAAGATACTATTGGAGGAGATTTGTTGTTCCAAAATATAAGATACTTTAAAAAAATTAAGGTTTCATTAAATAGACTTCTTTCAATATTATTCTTTCTTTCTCTATTTAATACTAATTAAATGTAGATTTAAAATTATTAAATGAATGATATTTTGAAATTTTATATTTTTTTATAAAGTAAAGTTGTTAAATATAGTTGATGAGATTTATTAATATATAAGATTTTATTTATTATAATTTGAGACAGAAGTAGTACTTTGTAGGAGATTTTTCTTTTAGTGGAACTGACATGCATGATCTTGTGGTTAATTGCAGCATCAAGCTCTAAATACAATAGAATGGAAGATGAGAAGGTAGCGACGATGAGAATAAAGGAGGACCACTTATTTATATGGCTCAGCCTATATGTGTCTGCTTTAATTTCGTCCCTGATATTTTATGTTTAATTAGTTTAATTAATCATCACGTCGCGTTCTTGTGTCATTGCTGTGATCAATATATGTACCAGCTTGGTTGTTTCATGTATTAATCACATATCATTTCCATCGTATCCTCAATTCAAACAGTGTATATATATATATATATTTGTTTTCTAGCTATAATTAATAATGATCGATGGTTCTATACGCATTGGACCACAATTAATTATTGCGTTTTGATATGTTATGTGATCTAGACTGGCTAGGTGTAATTGGATGGTGTCTGAAAATTAATTAACTACTATTCATATACTTATCCATTAAAAAATGTAAATTATTTTCAACGAATTTCATTGCCAATAACTCTTTTCATATTTATTTTTAATTATTTTAATTAAAAACAAATATACAATAATTCATTTATTTTATACCTTAAAATATTAAAAATATTTTATATTTTTTAACATTTAACTTTTCAAAAAATATTTAAAAAAATTATTCTTGCTATGCTCTATTATTTGGTCTCAATCTGACCTTCATTTGTTCCTAGCCTTAAGAAGAAAAACTTGACCTTCACCAACTTAATCCCAAGGGCCAGCGGATAATGAAGACGATGGATGCTTTTTTTTTTTTTCAAGGTTATTTTGGTCTTTTCAGAATATAATTATATTTATTAAATATATTTTTTATCTCATTTTTATTTACATATTAAACATACTTTTAAACCTTGCTTCCATTCAATTCCATTTTCACTTTTATTTTTACTTTTACTTACACCAAAAACATTTTTTTTATATCAAAGAAGCCACAAATCCCAAAACAAGTGGCACGGGTATCTTTTGCTAAGAAATATATGTTTGGCTTTTGGGCATGCAAACCCTGTTTAAATAATTAAAACTGTAATAATATTTAAGTATTGATACTGTAAATTACAATCTATCTTATTAGTTTTAGATTATTAATTAGATTTGATCATGCTTTAACCACTGAGAAGATGTTAATAGGCTGACCTTCCAACCAAGCCAATGACATGAATTAAGTTGAGGATAAGTACAACTCATGATGCTATAGAAAATAAAAGGGGTGTGTGTGTACATAAATTATATAATATAAGGTTCAGTGTCACTAACTCATATGCCATTTTAGTGAGATCTAAGTTTTACAGCTAGCCTAGACCTGGGCTGGGATAAAACCAAAATACTCACGTCATATTACAATACTAATAGTCTAACGTGACAAATTTTGGTCAATCACCTTTGCTCTAGTTAATAAGAATGTAATTAATATTTTGCAGAGATTTTAGCGCTTTGAAGTTGTGTCACCTTGTCTACATAGTCATGGATGCAACATCAACTCCTTGATGCCAAATTCGTGGAGAGAAAAAAAAATTTGATAGCCCTTAATTAAGCTATCATCTCAAAATTCTATTATTTTATCAACACTTATAAATGCATTACGTAACTACCCTTCATCATGAGGGTAAGTTTGTAATATCTTGATTGAATTGAGCCATTAGAATCTTCAAACATGGGCCCATTTAAAGAGGGCTTTCATTGGCCCATTTTCATCAGACAAGTACAAACTCAATCCCTTAAATAAGCTACTTGAGCTCTAAAAATTTTAGGGTTTCCATTAGAGGGAGTTAGGTTTAACAAAAGAGGCTAATCCCTCATTATGTAACATGATGAATCAAAGTTTAAATCTTTGCTAGGAAAGATAATCATGTTTAGTGCTTGACATTACTTCAAACAAAAGCGTGTCCAATAAAAGAACACCTGTGATTAAAAAAAAAGTTTCCAAGTTGTTCATAAAATACAATCAGGTGTGGTGTTACAAGACATGCCAAAGACGCAAGGTCACAAAAGGATAAAAGAACCTGACTTTTAATCAAACGCGGGAAACCCGAGCTCCCTTACCATAGTTCGCCCGGATGTGAGAATGCAAAGTGAAGAAAATTAATGTAGATGCAAGAAAGTAAAGATACATTAATTAAAGAAAGAGGTGGAAGATTATGCCAGTTGTATAATAAAAAAAAGACTAAAGCTACATGATAAAAAGAAAAATAAAATGAAGTAGTAGATGCAGAGTCTGGGAATTTGACTAATAGTTTGTTGATGCTGATGATAATAATAATTGGGAGAGAGCTCCTCTATTTATAAATGATCCTGGCTTGGTGCCCAAGCCCCATGATTACTAGTCTCCTTGAATTTCGGAAGCACTTCCTCTATCATGGCCACTCATCATGGGTGGAGTGCGGATGGTTTTGACTTAGTGGCTAAGGCTCATAAATATTTTCTTTAATTATTTCAAAGCCAATTAAATTGAGTTGAGTCTAGGCCTTTAAATTCACAATTTAGGTGCAAATAATACCCCCACATACAAATTGACCGAAGCTTTTATAGGCCAATTTTGTATAGATATGTCTTAGAGGATCGGCTCATTCTTGTTCTAGTTGATGGTTGATCTGTTACTTTTCTTGAAGGATACCTTTTTGATTGAGGATTATGGACCATGTGGTCTAGCTTAGGATTAAGTTTCTCAAGGTTTAAGACCTCAAGAGCTGGTTTTGGAATTGGCTCTTTGACTTTTTGGATTTTAAGGACTGGTTTTGCAAAATCTAGCTACTGCAGAGCCCCTGTAGAGAGAGCTCTCATAGAAAGGGCCCTTGCAAAACTTACCTTTCTAACTTTAGCCCCTGTGGCGTTGGCCCTTATAGCTGTGGCCCTTGTGGTTGTGGCCTCTGTGACTTCATCCCCTCTGATACTAACCCTTGTGGTTGCGACCCTGTAGCACTAGCCCTTATGGTTATGGCCCTTGTGACTTTGGCCTAATGGTGTTGGCCTTGATGGCTCTAGCCTTTGTGACTTCAACCCTTTGGGTGCTGGCCTTGATGGCTTTAGCCTTTGTGGCTCCGACCCTTGTGGTGCTGGCTCTAATAGCTTTGGCCTTGATGGCTCCGGCCCTTGTGGCTCCAGGCCCTCTGGTGCTGGCCAAATAGCTTTAGCCCTGATGGCTCTAGCCCTAATGGTGCTGGCCTTAATGGCTCTAGCCTCAATGGTTTTAGCCCTTGTGGTTTTAACCCTAATGGCTCCGGCCTTTGTGGCTCCGGTCCTTGTGGTGCTGGCCTTAATGATACTAGTCTTGATGGCTCCAACCCCTATGATGCTGGCCCTAATGGCTTTAACCTTTGTGGTGCTAGCCTCGATGGTGTTAGCCTTATGGTACTGGCCTTGATGGCTCCGGCTCTTGTGATGCTGGCCCTGATGGCTCTGGCCCTTATAATGCTGGCCCCAATGGCCGAAAGGACTTGCTATTAAATTAAACCTGCCACTTATCCTTTGAGAGATATTATAGTAGTCCTCATCGAAGGGCAATTTGGTAGATTGTCCCCTGAGTCTATCTATTCTCTGAAGGTGTGAGTCAATTGGAGCTTACTCCTGCGATGGTTTAGACAACATAGCAGAGATGTTCCTTAGTCCATCTTTCAGAGTTTGCAACAGAGCTCTTTGCCTCTCATTAGCTTGTATTTCACGTGCTGCGCGTGCAGCCACGTTCTCTAAGTCATAAGACTCAAGTTTATTCTTTCCAATAATATATTGATCCTTACGTGTCATAGGCATTCCTTTCACACGAGTCCTAATAGGTGTGCTAAAAATTGTTTGTAAAAAAAAATCAAGCGTGGTGTCGCAAGGTGTGCTAGAGATACAGGGTCTCAAAAGTATTGAAGAACTTGATTTCTAATCAAATGTGGGGAACCTGGGCTCCCTTACCACAGTTTACTCGGATGTGAGAATGAAAAGTGAAAAAAATTAATGTAGATGCAAGAAAGAAGATATATTAATTAAAGGAAGAGGTGGCAGACTATGTCGGTCGTACAATAAAAAAAAGACTAAAACTACATGATAAAAAGACAAATAAAATAAAGCAGCATACGCTGAGTTTGAGAATTTGACTGATAGTTTGTTGATGTTGCTAATGATGATGATTGGGAGAGGGCTCCTCTATTTATTGATGATCCTGGCTTGGTGCCTAAGCCTCATGATTGCCAATTTCTTTGAATTTAAGAAGCACTTCCTGTATCATGGCCACTCATCATGAGTGAAGTGCGAATGGTCTTGACTTAGTGGCTAAGGCTCATAAATATTTTCTTTAATTATTTTAAAGCTAATTAAATTGAGTTGAACTTAAGCCTTTAAATTCACAATTTGGGTGCAAACACAAGTATTCTCATTATAAGTAGTGCTCAATATTCAAGTTCAGTTTTTTTTTTGATTCTAACATGGCCAATGGATGAATACATGAACCATGCTTGCTCAAATAGTAAAGAATTCAATAAAGACATTAAAAAATAAAAAAATTGATTTCTTTTTAAAAAATAATGTTAGCATCGAAAGTAACATTTTAAATTATTAAAGGAAAAACGTCATTTAGGCTATATTTGGTATGATGGAAGAGTTTTTGATAGAATTGAAATCAGAATTAAAATTAGAATTAGCATTAGAATTGAAATAGAATTGAATTTGAGAGTGTGTTTGGTATGACGATGGAATCTTGGTATAAATTTAATAAAATATGTGTACTTAGAATAGGACAAGACCAAAGTTTCCTTTTTAAAATTAAAAAAAAATATCCCCATCAGCCCAACAGTGTCACTGCATCCTTCCCCTCTTTATCTGATGATTCTAGCTCACACCATCAAATGGGTGGGTGCCTCACTACCTCCTCATCCTCCTCATTTAATGAGCATCCTTGTCGCCATATGTCACTGCTTTCTTCTTCTTTTTCTCCAGTAAGGACCCCTTCCCACGGTCTGTTACTACCTTCCATGGTTCATTGTCACTGCTTTCTTTTTCTTCTCCAGCAATACTTAACTGAATAAGAAGATGAAGACTAAAGAAGAAGAAAGGAGGAGATCAATGCAGATGATGATGTCCTTCGATTAGGGTGATAGCGATGACCATTGCACCGTCCACTGCTTCTCAGTTCTTCATCGTCATCCTCCAAGTCCAAGCATGACAACCTAAGACCTACCTACTTCATTTTCCTTGTCCACCTCATACATTTCTAGATTCACCTAGACCAAGAAGCAAGTGCTCGACAACATTGCTCATATAGCATCTATTTTTAGATATTCATGC